TAACAAATTAACATAAACATATGACTTAATGTACATTTATAAACTCGCATCTTATGTTCATCAAAAATTTTGACATTATTAACTTATATTCTCTTCTTAAGGGTCTTACTACTGTATAAGCAAAATATTTGCTGATGCCTTACTAGAAGTAGGTATAATTAAAGAATAAAGAATATTCAAATTCTATGCTCCTTTATATTATTGCAGAATTAACTTCTGATAGTTTCCTTTTAAATTTTTTCAACAAGAAGCCTCCACATGTTTGTTTGCCCTATGCATTTAGATACTAGATTTTCACGACATGATAGTTTTCTCGGGATACATCTGGTTAATGCAGGTTTTATAATGTAATGGAAAGAGTGGTATCCTGTTTTGTTATTGTCTACTGATTAAAAATATATCACAAGTCAAACTCAGACAAATTCTCTAATATTAATGTTTGAACAGGGATATGGATATTTCAATTTAGAAGACATGGAGGCAACATAAAAACTCTGGACTTTACTACAAAACATCACTTGTTTTACTATTTGCAATTTTTACTAGTACTAAATATTAACTTTGTGTTAATTTTGTTATCATATTCTTTTGATAGCTAAAATAAGGTGTAAAGTTGTCAACAATATTAAATGCTGCTTTCAAAATGTTAAATAATATAGAGAGTCCACTGTTCCAAAATAAATCATAAATTGCCTAGAGCTATTTTTCTGCTTCATAGCAATTAACTAGGCAACCAAATTATTAGAATAAAAATCTGTGTTCATAACACTCATGATATTGATTTCAAGAATTAGACTGCCATATTGGAGTTGAATATTTGCCCTACTAATTAATAGTTTGTGAATTCAGTTATCAATCTGTAATCTCTGAATCTCAGTATACTTATACATAATGTTATATATGGATATATATGTATATATTTATTAGTATATAGTGCATACTGTATACTGTATATATAGTAGATAATATCCATATATACATATATGTATATGGACATTATACATAGGGATACTGAGACTCAAAAATCATAGATACAGAACTGAATTCATATACTGCTAAATAAATATACATATATATTAGTAGATACAATACACTATATATTGGTTATATATAAATATATGTAGGTGTATGTGTATAATGTTCATAAGTGCTTAAATAATATGCCTAGTAACTAGTTTCAAAATATCAGAAACACCATCTCTGAATGTTAGCCTATATGACCATAAAAATTAAGGTGGTTACTAAAGTTAAATAATTACTACATAACTGTTGAAAACAATATTTAAAAATATTCATGAGTCATATTAATGGGAACAGGGACTGCCTCTGACATAAACTGATTGGCCTGCTCTTTGATCACCTCCCCCTGAGAGGAGAGTAGCCTTACCAGGCCACAGAAGATGACAATGCAGCAACTCCTGATGATATCTGATAGACTAGGATCAGAAAGAAGGAGAGGAAGCCCTCCCCTATCAGTGGACTTGGGGAGGGGCATTCGTGGAGAAGGGAGAGGGAAGGTGGCATTAAGAGGAGAAGATGGAAGGGCTTATGGGGGGATACAAAGTGAATAAGTGTAATTAATAAAAGTTAAAAAAATATTCATGATTAAAGATAACCCATGTAGGATTTAGTGTCTACTAAATGAAATAATTAATACTTCTGGGTATATTAATTTGTTTTCTTTAAGATGCATGTTCATAGCAAAAAAATGAGTGCTTCATTTTTGGCTCTTTTTGGTACCACTGTACACTTTTATAGCAAAGCATTCCTGCTTCTCTGTTCTCTTTGATGAGATTTAGTTTTCTTAAAAAATGGTTGGCTTTGATGCTTTGATGTCTCTTATTCTCTGCATGAGGAAGTACAGGACCCTGAAGAGAACAAGTTACTGTTCATATCACTTCAGAAAGACCTTGAAGACACAATCCTTTCTTCATATTACATATACTTGTGAATTTCACAATATTTCAAAACTTAAGACTGTTGAATTCTAACACTTACCTTTTTTCAGCAATGTGTTGTGCAGAAAACAGGAATATATTTCAAATGGAGTAACAAAATAAATGATGCAGAATGTGAAGGTTGGACTGGCAAGATGGCTCAGCAGAGAAAATATGCTTGCAGAAAAACCTCAGGACTTGAATTTTAATCGCAGAATGTACCCCAAAATGTTGTTCTCTGATTCCATATTGCAAGGTGTCATGTGTGCCCCCCACAAAATGAATCTTTTTCTTTTAATTTTAGTTACAGTTTGTTAACATTGTATCCTGCTGTATCCCGCTCCCTCTTTCCCTCCCAATCCCACCCTCTCTCCATCATCTCCCTGCCCCTTTCTAAGTCCACTGATAGGGGAGAACCTCCTCCCCTTTCATGTAATACTGGTTTATCAGGCATCTTCAGGAATGGCTGCAAAAGTCCTCCTATGTGGCCTAGCAGGGATGCTCCTCCCTCGGGGGGAGGGGAAGGTCAAAGAGCCTGCCATTGAATTTCTGTCAGAAACAGTCCCTGTTCCCCTTATTAGGGTACCCACTTGGATACTGAGCTACCAAGGTCTACATCTGAGCAGAGATTCTAGGTTATATCCATACATGGTCCTTGGTTGGAGAAACAGTCTCATAAAAGACCCCTGTGCCCAGATATGTTTAGTCCTTGTGGAGCTCCTGTCCTCTCCAGGTATATAACACCCCCCCTTTTTTTTTTAAATGATTCCCTGCACTCTTCCAAAGATTTGGTTGTGATTCTTAATATCTGCTTTGATACACTGCTAGGTAGAGTCTTTGAGAGGCCCTCTGTGGTAAGCTCCTGTCCTGTTACTTGTTTGCTCCTACATCCAATATACATCCCATTTGTTTTTCTAAGTGAGGATTGATCATCATACCCTGGGTCCTCTTTCTTGTTTATCTTCTTTAGGTGTATAGATTTCAGTATGTTTATCCTATCTTATATGTCTATATAAGTAAATATATACCATGTGTCTCTTTCTGCTTTTGGGATACCTCACTCGGGATGATCGTTTGTAGGTCCCACCATTTACCTGCAAAAATTTCATGATTTCCTTGCTTTAAATTGCTGAGTAGTATTCCATTGTGTAAAAGTACCATAATTTCTGTATCCATTCCTCCACTGAGGGGCATCTGGGTTGTTTCCAGGTTCTGGCTATTACAAATAAAGCTACTACAAACACGGTTGAGCAAATGTCCTTGTTGTGTACTTGAGCACCTTTTGGATATATGCCTAGGAGTGATATAGCTGGATCTTGAGGAAGCGCTTTGCCTAACTGTCTGATTGATTTCCAAAGTGGTTGTACAAAAATGATCTTTTTGTAAAACAAAACTAATAAAAACCTCTACAACTGATTGGAATGCCTCATTCCATTGCCAACATTTTATTTTAAAAAAACCCACAACAAAGCAAACAAAAATACAAACAACTTAATTTTGTTTTCTCCCAGACCAGTGACATAGCTCAGTGGATAAAGGAGCCTAAATGCAATCATAATTATCTGAGTTTAATTCCCAAGACACACAAGGTATAAAGAAATACCTATTACTAAAAGTTGTACTCTGACCACCACTCATGCTTCAAAGCATATAGAAGTGTGTTCACAAACACACATGCATGCGCATGCGCCAAAAATCTAACAGTGATTAAAAAAAAAAAAAACAAAAAACAAAAAAACAACAATTTGTTGAATCCAAGAAGCTTCCTCTTGCAACAGATGGAAAGAGAGATAGATACTCATAGGCTGACTTTATACAAAAAGTGAGAGACTTAGATCCCTAGGCCGTAAACAAGATATCTCTGTCAAATTCCTCAGAGTTCAGGAAACCAGAGGAAGAGGAGGCAGAAAGAGTGTAAGAGCCACAGGGGATGGAGAACACTCTCTGAATCAAAATGATCACATGTCATATGAACTCATAAAGACTGATGCTGCACATGCAAGGTTTACACCAGATTCTCTGTGTATATATTATGGCTTCCACTTTAGTGTTTTTATGGTGTTCCTGGGTGTACAAATGAGTGGGTCTCTGATTCTTGTTCCTTCTTTTAGACTCTTCTTTCTGTTGATTTCTGTTATCCAACTTCAGTGTGTTGTATTTTTGTTTCCCTTAGTATATTTTATTTTGCTATATATATATGTAAAGCACATGAGCTTTTATTCAGTTACAGTTTGGTGTTTGTTTTGGGGGGTTGTTTTTGGTTCTGTCTTGCTTTGTTTTCATTTTGGGTGTTGTTTTATGTCGTTTTCTTGCTGTTGTTATAGTGAATTTTTTTGTTTTTGAAAAAGAAGTTAAAAGTTGGGTGTGTATGGAAGAGGAGAGGATATGGAAGGACTTGAGGTAGGAAAATTATATGATCAAAATAAATTTAAATTTTGTTTTAAATAATTAAAAATAAAACAAGAAAAAATTGATGGTCATCTTAAGTTTCAATAATTATTATAGAACAATAGGTTACACTTCTCTATTCCTAAAATAACACACTGATTAAGATACAAACGAGAAGTGGATCACACAAATATATCAGAGTATTAGCTACTATTGGTGTGTAGAAGACCTGCAGAATAAGACCAATTGAAACATGTGCTGTTGCTGTATGTTTTCAAGAAAGACATAAACAAATTTCCCTAATCTGCCTAAATAGACTAATCCAGATCTCCATTTGTATTGCTTTTTGCTTTATAATACTAAGATTCCAATATTTAATATTTTAAAAAGTAGAATACTCACAGTGTTTAATGATCACTTCATTTGCACCAAAGAGAGGTGAAGAAGCTTTACTTTGATGGGAATAATCTCTAGAGATCTTGAAATCCTGATGAGATTCTCCTATTGTGAAATCCTTCTTGGCTGAGATCCTGTTTGGACCAGCACTTTGAACCTCACAGTGGGACTCTTTGTCTGAAAGGGCGGGGCCTGCAAAGATATGTCATTTCCTTAGCAACAAGTGAGCAGTGGGTAGTAGTATCACCAGGGAACTCCCAGTAGAAAGCCCACTTAACCATGCAGCATCCCAGTGGGGAGAAGGGTTTCAGACCAGGTGGTGAAGAAGAAGGGGAAGATGTACAGCATAGATCCGGAGCTCTTGATACCCAAGCTAGCTCACAAAGTCCTGAAACAGAGAATGACCACAGTAGCTCCCCTTGTGAAAGCCGACCACAAGATTCTGGTAGCCAGGCTGCTCCAGACAGCCTAGAATCAAGAAGCCCTGTACAGGCAAGAATGGTGTTGGAAGAAGCAGCCATAGCTCCTCAGAGTGAACAGGCATCAATTATCCCGGGACCCAGCGGAGATGCTGCAGCAACAGCTGGAAATCGACTCTTGGAGTTGTATCCTTTCTAGGGAGCATATCAGTAGAGTGAAGGGTAGCACAGGTAGGGCAGAACTCCAAGAATACTTTGGGAGGAGACTTACTGTGAGGAAGTTTATGCGCTACTAGGAAGGAGACAAAAAGGTTGTATTATGAGCAGTTAGCTCTTAGTAGAGTTAATATAGAGGCAGAATAGGGACATATGTGAATATGTCTGAGAATGATCTAAGGTGTAAAAAACTAGAACCACTGAAGAAATGGCTGTGCATTTCTTTAGGTTTCAGTTTGGGGACATGCTAAGGTAAACCTCAGAGGTGTAATCAAGCCTTTAGGCACAAGGAAATTCAATAGTAAAAACCTTAACCAAATCTCCCTTCAGTTCTGTAACAGTACCATTCCGGACTCCTATGGAGGCAAATATAGCATGCAGATCTCTGGCATCAAATGTCCAGTACCAGCAAATGATGGTTCAGCAAGAGTTCACAGTGAATGACACTACTCTGACTGTGTCAGTTCTCCAAGAGTTTGGAGTGGGGGTGGTCTTTGCCTGGGCAGCAATGGATAGTATAGGGGTGCAGTAATGGAGACACTGGAGGATTAGAATTAAGCAGAAGACATAGTATGATGACACTGCTCATATTCCTCATTTTTTCTCCTGATGGTGTCTCCCTTTTACTTTCAGTAGGTGGACAACCGAAGATCCTGTTCTCTTCCGAACATCCATCAATGCCTTCCTTGACCATCTCTCCCTGGTGATGAGGAACATCCCACGCCCAGTATTTATGGCTGCTGTCAAACAAGGAAAAAGGAATAATAAGCCCTAATGTGTTACCGCCCAGAAGACACAGCAAAGGCATTTCATGACTTGGGTACTTGGCCCTTTGCCTTCATATTCTCTGTTTTGATCCAATCACACTGTATCTATCAATCAGTGCTACTGAAGGAGTGAATACAAAAATGACAGAAAATGAGGAACAGAACATTGAGTTACTGTTTTATTTTGAGCTATGGTAGAAACCTCCAGGTTTTACTATTTTGTCCTTTGGTTAGTAGGGGAGCTTCTGAGTTTCTAATTTCTTATACTGTAAGGTAACTGACAATTTAGGAAATAGAAAAATTATTTTTTTAATTTTTTTCCTAGTAGTGTGGATTGTGTGTGTTTGTGCAACTGAAATGTTACTAAACTGGAGTTCAGAGGATAAGTTTTGTGTGTCCTCTTCTTCCACCTACCATGTGGATTTTTACTAGTAAACTCAAGTCATCAGACTTGGAACCATTTTCACAGCCTTGAAGTAAACCTTTTGTTTACAAATAAATACATGTTGGAACACTTATGCTAGCATGGAAGAGGAACTTGGCTCAATCCAGAGTAATACAAAGGGAAATGAAAGGAAAAATCTTTTTATATTATTAGTTCTTAGTTCTATACTTAAAGTAAAAGAATGTCTTGGTTCTATAGTTGTATTCATATATTAACTTTGTGTAGTGGAAACATGTTTAGGATTAGTGTTATTTCTGAAATATTTTTATTTTGACATACTAGCTTTCCATTTTTAAATAGATTATTTGAGAAAAAAAACATAAAAAGAATCACAATGAAATCACGAAATACAGAAGATTTTCTAGACTTTACCCTATTGTAAGAAAGTATGTACATGAGCACTTACTTCCTTAAGCTGGACTCTCAGGGACAGAATTAGCAAGTTGCATACAAATGCTGTTTGTTTTTTAAACTTTTCCATATACTACCAAAGCACTCTAATGTAGGCCTTTCTATCTAAAATTTTATTGCACTACATCCTTCACCACTCGATTATCAAACTTTGTGTGAGAACCCAACACAGAAATACCAATGTTTTAATTTTATTAGCTCTCTGGCCACTTTCATATACCTCCATGAGAACAGTAGGATATTTTGCTCTGTTTCATATGTGGTGACCAACTCTATCAAAATAGTTTGTACATAGATTGCTATGTACCCACTTAGTTCTTCAAACTGCTTTCTTGATTTAGTCAGATTTTTCCATCTATGTCAATGTCTATCAGTAAAGCTGTTTTTATTTTGTCCATTTTAATTTGAATCCCTTTTTCTGCTTTCATTATAGTTTGAATTTGCTTAGTCTTTTGTTTATTCCTAATCCTATTGGGGTGGAGATTAATATCTTTTTGAGAGTCCTGACTGCTGCTTTTTGAAAACTAAAGCTTTGAGCTTGACTGGAAACAGATAAAAGTTCTCATCTTGCTCATTTATTTACCTATGATCCTATAGATTCATCTGCGGAGTTCTTCATTTCTGGGTGCAAAAAGTTTTCTTACACACAGCAGTGTTCTTCTGGAGACTTAAGCAGATCCCTCTGTGAGAGCCAGCATTCTGTCCCTTCATAGCTCTACACTCCCCACCTCACAGACTATCATTGCCCTTTATTATGGGAAAGAAGAGTGCTCAGATGGACTGAGATAGGGGCTATAACATGGAAAATCACGAGATAAGCATTTTAAAGACCATGGGGAAGGGAGAATTAAGGCACTGAAGTTTTATAGCAAAGCAGACAATGAAATGCAATATTATTCAACAGTTAATTTCTACCACCGTAGCTAATAAGCAGAAGTGGAGATAGGGTTTAAGATATACAACATTCTGTAGAAGAAGAGGTAAAGTTACTAAAGATTTGGTTAGAGGGAGAGCAGTGAGTGTGATCTACCAACAAAAATGCAGAGCAGGAGGTACTGATGCTACTGTTGGTGGTTCTCAATTGTGAAGCCCCTCTCCCTGAAGGGCCTAAATCAGGCTCTAATTAAGTAGATCCAGGTGTGCTAGGGACATCTTGTATAGGTGACTTCCACCAAGGCACCTGAATTGGGGTGAAGTCCAGGGTGGAATAAGCCACTTGCCTTCCAAGGATGATGACTCAGAAGTCAGGATCCTCCATCTTAGGACTTCTATCTTCGCTTTCTGCTGTCACCAGGCAGATAATAAACACCAGATTCTGGAATAGTTTGTGCTTCTAACATGAAGCATCCTGATTCAGAGTGCAAAGAATGTGTGAGAAGAGGGCTCATTGCAGGAAGAATCCAAGTCCTCTTTGATAAACTTTGCTTCACATATACACTACTTAATTCCCAAAGGCTTCAGCATCTCCAAAATATATTCCTGGCACCTGTTCTATTAGTTTGACATATGAGCTCTCAGACAGACTTTTCAGAACACCTTAAACTAATTAGAAATTATATAAAGAATAATGGTAGTTATTGGGGGACAAAAAGAGAAATTCAGTGAGAAACCGTGAATCTTAGTGACTTACAAGGGTTTACAAGGTTGTATGACTCTTCATTTGTTCCATCAAAAAAAAAACAGTTAAAAATTTCAAAGGCAGAAGACAAAATTATTGACTAGGTATGAAATTGCAAATTCTAAAAATACCTTGTAATTTTATTCTCATATAGGATTTACAAAATATTTAATGCATATTATACAAAAATATAATGATAGTAGAGAACTAATGATTTTTAATCTCTCACACTCAATTTCATTGACTTCAATATTTGTTTTTATTTAAATTAACTTTAACAATTTATCTGTATTATTATTGTTATTATTATATTGTGGAAAAAACAATTTCAAGACATTGTGGTCAGATCTGTGACTATAAAAACAAAATATTAGAAAATATTTATAAATGAAAAACATTTATTTTATATATTTTATGATATTTTCGTGTCTTAAAATTTAGTTGAAAAGCATATGAAAAAGAACTGAAATGCCAAACTCTGTGACAGACAGATATTTGAGCACCTTTTTTAATAAGTGCATTTCTATTTTTATGTGATTCTTCAGTAACAATAACCACCTCAATCAAAGAAATCTAAAAAGAAGTACTAGAAGTCACTTTTATAATGTTTCCCACATTTCCCTTATAAATTCCAATAAATATTTCAGTTTTGTGGTAAGGTAATATGTCATAATTTTATATAATATACTTATTTTATTGACATGAATAGTATGTACAAAGATTTTATTTTTTTCTTAAACATTTATTTATTTATTTATTTATTTAATAGCCTATTTGTTTGTTTACTTATTGATTAATTGATTCATTAATTAATTCATTCATTGCAATTTATTCACTTTGAATCCTGGCTGTAGCCCCCTCCTTTTACTTCCATTACCACCCATCCTCCCTCTTTCTCCCTCTATGCTCCTTCCCTAGTCCACTGATAGTGGAGGACCTCCTCCTTTTCTGTCTGATCTTAGCCTATCAAGTCTCATGAGGGCTAGCTGCATTTTAACATTTGGAATTTTATTTAAAACAAAAACACAACCATGAACATCTTTACAACTAGAGTCCCTCTTGGTTCTCCACAATGATTATGATCATGTTCACAAGGGATTTCCATTGTTAAGTCTTAAAACAACCATCTTTTTAAAAAAGGAAAAAAATCTCAGCACACTACCATTTAAGTTGTTTTAATGTTTCTTCACAAATGAGTAAGCAGAGTATCTGTATGAAAAAGTTTAGGATTACTCTTTGGTTTAACCATAGTGTGAACATGGAAAAAATGATTTTATTCTATCACCAGAATCATTATTGACTAAATTAATGGATAACTACTTTTCACAAAGTTTTATAATAATTCTACAGCATAATAGATTTGGAAATCTAAGTGGAGTTCCAACCTAGTAGGAGACTTGAGAATAGGTAATTACATGTGAAGGAAATGTAGTTCTCTATTTCATTAATTTTACTGTTTATGACTGAGTTCTAGACTACATATGTATAGGAGGCTTTAAAAAATCTTTATGAGGCTCATTTATTGGAATCAATAAGAGGAGTTACAATTATTTAAGTTACGTCGCAAAATGAAATATGATAAATATTCTCTATGTGGTTTAGAAGTAGTTTTCACTATTTGGTACTGAGTGTGGCAAGAGAGTCCTCAACAGTATAATTGAAAGTTGACACTATCATTTTCATGACAAATTCAGTGCAATGGCCTGGTGAAGACTACACTTGTGGATACTTACTAGTAGTTGTAAAATATCTGTCATTTTCCAAGTATTTGGTCAGCAAATCTTCCTTTTCCACTAACATTGCAAAACAACCCTCTTTTAGCCGACTGTAATGCATTTGTCATTATGCTGCTTGTCTCAACTGATTTGAAACTCAGCCCTTTCCAACTAACTTGAGATTGTATATTTCCAACCTGTATTTTAATGACCTTCAGATATCAGATCAGATATGTAATTGCAGTCTACACATAATTTCAAATAATTACAATTTATTACAAGAATGTGTACTTGGAATATTTAGCTTGAAGCAAACTTAGTTTTTTTTTTCTTTTTTAACTTTTATTAATTACACTTTATTCACTTTGTATCCCCCCCATAAACCCCTCCCTCCTCTCCCAATCTCACCCTAACTCTCCCTTCTTCACACATGCCCCTCCCCAAGTCCACTGAGAGGGGAGGTCCCCCTCTCCTTCCTTCTGATTTTAGTCTATCAGATCTCATCAGGAGTGGCTGCATTGTCATCTTCCATGGTCTGGTAAGGCTGCTCCCTCCCTCAGGGGGAGGTAATCAAAGAACAGGCCAATCAGTTTATCTCAGAGGCAGTCCCTCTTCTCATTACTATGGAACCCACTTGGACACTGCACTGCTATGGGCTACATCTGTGCAGGGGTTCTAGGTTATCTCCATGCATGGTACTTGGTTGGAGTATGAGTCTCTGGAAAGACCCCTGTGCTCAAATTTTCTGGTTCTGTTGTTTTCCTTGGGGAGTTCCTGTCCTCTCCAGAACTTACTATTTCCTACTTATGAGAACTAATA